CGTGTCCCCTAGCTGATGAAGACTAAACGAGCTCCTTCCAATTAACCTCTCCCTTTCCTCTCTACTCGCAGTCGTCGCTCACTCTTTAGCGGCAAGATCGCCGGCAACTCTTCCAAATTCTTAGCCGTCGCCACTCACTCCTTCACCCACAAAATCTCTATCGCCACTCACTCCATTGCCCCGAGATCATTCCATTGCTCACTCCTTGCGCCGATGAGCTTGCGATTGCAGGAGAAGGAAGGGAAATCGTGAGGAGCGAAGGCGGCAAGAGCGAATAGAGCGGTGGCGGTGACAGGCGTCTGAAGTGGTGGCATCGAATTAGAACCATTGGGTACTTGGGTTCATTGTTGGATCTATGAAATTCCCACCATTGAATAGCAGTAGTAGCAGATCGACACGCATGGTTTCAGCTGCCAGAAACTTTTGTCAACTGTACTAGACACCAAGATCTAGGTTATAATTGCCTCTTCGTCATTACAATCAAACAAAGCACTGGCGGAAGCTTGAGGCGGCGGGATGCTTGAGCGAGGAAATCACCCAACCTCCTCAAAATGCTAAACCAAAAGCATTGCTATCTCTCGCTCTCCCTTCCGTACTAGCAGTGGTTGGAGGCGGTGCGGCGGATGGCAGACGAATCGACGAGAAGGCTGGAGATGGAGGCAAAGCCCGACGAAGACTGACTGCGATGGTGGTGTGCGGGTGGAGCGATGACGACGCGAGGCTGGAAGTAGAGCTGTTCGGGGAATTACGGCGACGACAAAGTGCTCCCAATGGGATAAGAGAACCTAGGCTATAATCCATTATTGGACGGTAATTAGAGGCCCTCCAACCTTTCTTCATTACTATTAGATATTATAGCTAATTTTTTAATTTAATTTATTGTAAAATGATGTTGAAAACATAAAAGATTAACTTTTATTATTGTTAATCGCCACATCACTCATTTAACAATCAACTATGAGGGTTGACTGCCACGTCAGATAAAATTAACGAAATTGAACGGAGAGTGACCAAACTTGAACTGCGAAACTAATTTTGGTGACTACGAACGAAATTAAATATTTGTAGTGACCAAACATGAACTTTTTTAGTAAACTCAGTGACAAAACTTGCAATTTACCCCTTTTTGAATAGAATTCATGAATGGGCAAGCTCTGCTCGGCTCTGTGGGGAGTTCCCCAGGCGTGGAATGAGACCATGCCCTCTCCCCTAGCGGCTGCAAGTCAGCCACAGATCAGGCCAGGCCTCCGCAGCGCAGCAGAAAAGAAGGCAAGGCACGTGACCCAACCCAATCCAACCACCAGTCTTCCTTCACCATGATCTTCTCTTCTGTTCTGTGGTTGCAACAAAAATAGAAGAATTAAATTAAATGTGGGTTTCAATTTCCTGTCGCCTTCTCGTGAAGTTGGTTGTGCTTGCGCTTGTTTTTTCCTGTCTATTCTATAGTCTAATAATGCCTTTTCTTCTCAACTTAGGAAAGGTGGTGTGTGTTCATGGGAAATTCTCATAATTAATTAATTAATGGAGCCCATTGGCCCAATCTAGACACACAGACAGCGCCATTTCAAATAACGACTTACTGTGCTTGTATTGTATCTGCTTCTATTGCGAGGGACCTAATGATATTAATTAAAAAATGATTAACGAGTTACTAACAATTAAAATATTACTCAAGTTTTTCACTCTCCCTCACATTTGTTATTAAAATATTCTTCTCTGCATTTCGATACAAAAAATTTCTTCTGCATCTCTTTCCCCTAACCACTTCTCTTTCCTACAGATGTTAATTAGATCGTCTTCGTTCTTGCCATTGTCAATGGAATCACGCCACCACAATCTCGACCATTGTTCCATCTAAAATAGGTAGTACTCATACTGGCTGGTTTCGTCACACACCAAATCCTCCACGATGCTACAATATTGCAGCTTGAGGACAATTTGAGTTAATGACCAATCTCCCCAAACAAGTTCTTAATTGGTGTCCCCTCTATCGTAGAATCACCATTACCTCCTCGCCGAACACACTTCACCGTGAAGGAGATGGGGAAGAGGAACATTAACATTTTTTTGGATTTGTTTTGCTACTTTAATTAAAAATAAAAGAATAGTGGGGTCAGTGGTTGGTTTTCAAAGTTGATTAGGCATGTTTTTCTACTACTGCACAGGTCGAGTTTATTTTAGTTCAAATTAAATTTGAGGGATTCAACATTTTTTTTCCCCAGTAATTTTACAGCCAACTCAACATCTGTTTAACATGTCATAAAAATTAGTTGCGTTAATGAGGTGATACAGAAGTTAATGGTCAATGACCAAACATAAAAATAGTATTAAATTAGAAGGATCACTAGTACAATTACATGACAAAATGCGAAACAAATGATAAACCCTCTAATTAAATTAGCCTCTCTAGCAGGGAAAGTAAGTGGGAAGAGAAAAGAAGAGCAATTGTCCTTTTTTTCTTTCTCGACATAACATAATACAAAGAAATACAAACCCCACTCATGATAATAAACCCAAATTCGACCAAAATAATAATAATAAACCCAATATAGGGAATCAAGTCAACCCCCAAAACGCTAAATTGCTTCCTATCCTCCTTCTACTTTCTCACATAACTAGCTACTACCGATTAGTTAACTACAAGAATATCAATAATAATTACTAGCACTGGGCTCGACCCGTTGGTCGAGTAATCTTAGCATGACCATATCATTTGGTGCAAGTTGACTTATTAGGTAGAATTATGATAAAGTATAATCTGAAATTCGAAAATATCAAGTGCTTATATAACGCTAATAGATTGAAGGTCCTTAGATGCTAATTGCTTGTCACGCTAAAACTATAATAAGTAGTATATGTGACTTGCTTCCTACATAACATGCATAATGAAGTCTAAGCATGAAAATAAAGGGTTCCCCTCATATGGATTTGAGAGCATCGATGAAGTGATTGCCCCCATAGTAGTCTTCCTTGGCAGGTCACCAAATGAGATATAGCTCTAAAATTGAAATACAAATGAGATGTCGCACTATGCAGAGTCACCAACAATACTAAACTCGAAAATAAATGGCCTTCTTGGTGATGACCATACCATACACAAAATGTGAGATGAAGCCACAAATGATGTATTCATACCCCTGCAAAGTCACAACAATTATGTCCCTTGTCTATGGAAGTTTGACAGCTATAAACCCACACAATGGTAAGTTTTAAACATATTCAATACTATCACAATGTTGGAATAAATGCTGCAAAATTCACAAAACCGTGTAACCTTTTCAATGAAAGTATGATCGTTGTAAATATATTCAATCCAATGATGATTTTGAAACATATTTGGTGAATATAATTTATTAACCAAAATTTTCAAACTTTTTAAATTATTAGTCTAACCTTTCGAAATATAAAATATTAGAAAAATCTTTTGTAACGCATCAAAATATTAGTCATTTGTCTGTCACTGCTAGTAATTTTGTAAGTCTTTTCTTAGTTAAAATATTTAAAATTTTGAGAATGTTGACCCTAACATGCCTCTTCAAAGTCAATATCATGTTTCCAAGTCAATATTAGTAACAAAACTGCTAATGGGAAGTTAATATTTGACTAATATTTTTTATTTTGAAAAATTTGAATAATAATTTGATAAGTTTGAAAATGTGGAAAATTTTGATTGACCGAGTGACCAAAGAATGTAATTATTTTTATGCGTAATTTTTAAATTAAAAAAATAAAAGGACTCAACACATAGTAAAAGAAATAGTTTCTTCCATATTATCCAATTGCCAATTTACCCTTAACGTAAATAAGAAAGTAATTTTTATTTTCTTACTTTTTCATAGTGCTTTGATAAATCAATTTTCATAGTAGAGTTTGATGTAACCTTTTCTACTTTAAAACTTCTACTCTCTCTTCAATTTTTGTTAAGGGTAAAATGGTAATTGGATAATATGGAAGAAACTATTTCTTTTACTATGTGTTGAGTCCTTTTAGATTTTTATGTGTGACAAATGTGGAAAATTTTGATAGACCGAGCGCACCAAAGAAGGTAATTTTTTTTCTTACTTTTTTTTGGCAATTAGCAATTTTTCTAATTAAGTAATTAGTAGTATCTTCTTCACTTATAACTTGGCTTTTGAAACTTTTCTGCACAAATTGATGAAATGAATCATCACAGACTATTGAATTTCACATATTTATTAGTAATATTTTGGATACCATTCTTTACCACAGTATACTATAGTGGTAAATGATGGTAGACGCTGGTGGAAAGTGATAGATGATTGTTATTATATTTCTACAACAATTCTACACTATTATATATTTATATATTATGTACTATGAATTTGTTACCATCTTGGTATATAGTTCTAAAATATTAATTTAATTTTTATACCAAAATATATAAATGTGTATATCATTTTTAGAGTATGATTAATATAATGGTTTATTTCGTTTTTTTAATTGGTTGTATATTCTTCATTTTTAACTTAGCTTTTGAAATTTTGATTCATCACAAACTATTGAGATCCGCATATTTTGAAAAATATTATAGGACCAAATATACCATTCTTTACCACCTTATACCATAGTGGTAAATGATGGTAGACGGTGGTGGAAAGTGATCGATGGTTTTCTTTATATTTATACGATTATATATACGACCATTCCACTCTACACTATGATATACTCATATATTATATACTATAAACTTTTACCGTCATGATATATAGTTGTAAAACATTATATTATATTTTACACCAAATTACGTTAAAGTGTGTGTCATTTTGAAGAGTACGATTAATATGTTTCGTTTGTAAAAAAAAAATTGAATTAAAATAAAAAGATATAGTCTCTTAGATTATAAGTAGAGGAAAATTAATTTTGTTGAATAATTGAATAGTTATGGTTAAAGTAGCTATGGGAAAATATGAGGGGTTATAAAATTGGAATGCATGTGTTAGAGAAAAGAGTCGAATAAAAAACAAAAAAGGAACATCAAAATGAAATGCACAGCTTTATAAAAAATGAATGCAAAGACCTAAATACCCTACCGATAAATGCGCTCGTTGCAGCAAAATTTAAATGGTGGAAAGGAGACCTATGAATCTCTATTATATATTGTCTAGATATAAAGCAAACTCCGTGCAATTAATCCATCCTCAACCATGCTAATAATAATGAAGTAATGATAATATGCTATATAGTATTAGTGCTTTAATGTACAACTTAAAGTTGTACCATAACATGAAATGTATAAGTTTAGATTGTACCATAAAAGAATTTGTACCATTATGTTATGGTACAACTTTACAACTTGAAGTTGTACCATCACATAAAGGTACAAGTTCAAGTTGTACCATAAAAGAATTTGTACAAACAGTATAGGTACAATCTGAAATTATACCGTAACATAAATGTACAATTTTAAGTTGTACCATAAAGACAAAAACCTATAGCACCAATACTATATAGCATTGTAAAATTCCTTATGATTAATAGTGCATATTTAATCTCCTCTACCTTCACCATCATGATATATTATAATTGATAACAATAAGAATATGTACTGCACCACCCAGTCTCTAGGTGGAGACGCATGCACCATCAGATTCAAACGACGCAGGTAGGCAGCAAGCAGCTTGACCAAATCCCAAACGCCCTCTTCTTCTTCTGCACACATCATTCCCCCCGATCAATTAGATCCATCGATTACGATTAAACCTTTGCTGATAAAGTAAATGTAATAGACAAAACAGGGGTTGCCACTAATGAAAAACAGGTCCTTGCCTTTCTGGGTTTGGTTGATGATGCATAGAGAAGGTGGGGCGAGATCTTGTACAGATCTTCGTCCACCGGCTTCGGGTTGGAGCGCGGGAGCGAAGTATTTGTAGTAGCTGCTGCGGATTTCGGAGGCGGGCTCGGCTCTTCTTTAATAACCACGCCCTGGCACTCCTTCAAGTTGTACCCCATTTCTGCCTGCTGCTGCTGTCGCTTTTCCATTGTTTTGCCTTGTTTGGTGCGGGACTGACGGACTTTCCCTTGCTGCTGCAGTAGTAAACATCATCAATTAGTTCCCCATTCACATCCACACCAACAATAATAGCATAGTTTTATGACTCTGCTGTCTGCTCTGCCCAACAATACAATTCTCCTTCCGCAACAAGACCGAGGGCCGCAGAATTGGGGAATTCCTCTATCGAAAGGAGGTTGGAGAAAAAGTAAGCGAGCGACATTATCATTGCTCCGACGTGGGTTCGCTCGCTTTTCTTCTCTATTGAAACTTTTCTTGGTTTCTTAAAGTGGGTATGAACTTCTTTTCATGTATCTTCATTACTCTGCTTTTTTCCCTTCTTTTTAATTCTACGTTACTGTCTGAGTTAATGAGTGAAGGAAATTGATTAAAAGGTAAGACCGACGTACGCGTGGGCGGCGAGGGACGACGATGACAGTAGGAGTGACGACGTCGTTCTGGTACAAGTCGCCGGCGACGTACAGATCTGGATCCTCGGAGTAGCTGTAGCGAAGGAAGCCGGCCTGGCGGGCGGATTCGAAGCACTGAGTGAAAGGAAGGTCGTTGTTCCAGTCCCAGCTTCCAAACGCCGGCACATGGCCTCCCCGGTAGTAATGCTCCTCCTATACAAACAAAAGTTCACCAAACGGACTTGTTAATTAGTTCACATATAAATGAAGCAGAGTCACAAATCGAACGAGTTAGGAACAGGGAGTCGACTTACTTCCATGTTGTTAAGCTAGCTGAATTACTTGAAGTTGAACCAAATCGCAGCAGGATACAGTATGTTGGAATGAAGGAAGAATGGCGTGTGGACGTGACTAGACAGATGTGGAATGTGTGTGTATATATAGGGAGGGAGAGGGTGTGGGTGAGTGATAAAGCGAGAGACAAGTGAAGAAAGGCTACGAGAGAGAGAGAGAGAGAGAGAGAGAGAGAGGCAGGGAGCGGGATGGAGGGGGCAGATTAATGTATAGAGTAAATACTCTATCTAAAAGTGGAAGCAGAGGAGGAAGAAGAAGAAAGCAGAGAGGGTAAAGAGGAGAATATACAAGGCAGGCAGAGTAGGGGCATATGTATATTCAGAGACTGTGGAGAGTGGGGCGGGGTGTTTTGAAAACGACTTGTTATGGTGATGGTGGGGAGATAAGGGGGGAGATTCCAAGGTTGTCATCCCGGTTTAAATAGTAAGTCCGGTCAAATAAATGGGTTGAGGGAGGTTGTCGGGTTTATACCAGTGTATCGGTTTTGCAAATGGAATGGTTTTGTCGTGGTACAACCAATTTTTATGTCGGTTATACCGGTTTATGCGAATTTTAATAATTTTTACGTGTACAAATATAAATCGCCCATCTTAAACATAATTTCTGGAACGACGAACCCTGACACGGACATGAGATTTTCTGCAATTAAATCGACAATGCAATATACGTTGCATGGATGATTAACAGATTCCATTTGACCAAAATGGGTTTACAAAAAGCCTTCCTCATTTTATTAACGCTCAAACATCAAATCCAATCTACTCTATTCTTTCCAAAGGAGGAGCGAATTGTACCTTTGAGAGGAGGGTCGCCGCGTGCAAACATCAATTCCCATCAGTGCGTGCCGTGAAGAGGGTCGCCGTGAGAAAGGAGAAGAGGGCCGCCGCATGCAGAACTTCGTCAATTGTCGAACGTCGCTGAGTGCCGTCCGTCACCGCGCGCGTGCCTAGCCGAGTGGAGTCGTCGATCCGTCGGTGTATCCAAGTTCAGGGACCGGAATTTTATCTTCCGGTTGAACCACTGGAATTCCGGTTTTGACTGGCTCTGACCGGAATTGACCGGCTTTGACCACAGCTTCATGCCGGTGGTATTCCAGCCGGTTTCATGACCGGTACCGGTTGAACCAGTCGGCATACCACTGGCATGACAACCATGATTGAGGGTTAATGATTCAATCGTTTTAACTCGGATATATGAAAATGATTATTATATTGTTTGTACATTTATAAATTATATTCAAGTATCAATGAGTAATAACATATAATATTACTCCAAAATAATAGGTCGTACTTGGATCTAACATGTTGAAAATTTGCACACTTATATTATTTACTTAGAATTCAAAAAATAGACTTAGACGAATAGGAAAAATGGAAAAGAGGGGAATTTTGCCAACCAGAGGAAATAAAGACACCATGTGACCTCCAACCGGGTAGCCTTACAGCGGGTTGATCCGAAGGTGTGTGATCTAATTTTCTCACCAAGTTTGAGTCAAAATAGGTCAACCGATGGTTCAACCAATGGGTTGACAACCTTGAGAGATTCCAAAGCTGCAATAATAATAATAATAATAATAATAATAATGGGTTTAATAGAAAAATAATAGGCCTAATACAAGAAAATAGACTATAGTTTAAGCTTTCTGTCACTTGTATCCCTAAATGTGTGATCCGAGCTCATTTGTACACTTTTTACCTCCAGTTTCCTTAGTTGTTTGAGCTCTTTTTACTCCGGGAGGTTTGGTTTTATGCCGGGTTTTGCCTCGTTTTGGTGTTTTTTAGGCTATGACAGGTGGAACCAACCTCGGAGTCGAAAGTTGGACGAAAGGGCGAAAAATCAAGTCAAAGGGTGAAAGCAGCAGCAGATCACGGTCACTGAGACAGTGAAATGGAGCCGCTAGCCGTGAACCGCCAGGCATCCAGAGCATATTTCACTTTCACTAGACTCAATTCAGTTCACAGTTGTAAGACCGTGAACTCAGGCCATTGCCCGTGAACTCGGCTTAGTGATGCGATGCGTTTTGACCTGAGATCACGGTCCGTGCTTTCAGTTCACGGTCGTGAGCTAAGACTGTGATCTGATCCCGATCTGGGTATAAAAGGAGGGTTGATTTGAACGAAAAAATGGAGAGACCTAGTGTGAGAAACTTCTTCTTCTTGAGATTTCTAGAGTGCGGAAGTGACGAACCAAAGAATGGGAGAAGCTAGGGTTTCATCTTCAAGCAAGGATTTGGGGATTCCTCCCCCAAAAGGAGGATCTCTTCAACACAAGGAGCAAGGCTAGCATCTCCATGATGGTTTTCCTTCTTCTCTCTTGTGTTTTCCCTTCCCCTAGCATGAAGTAGTCCCTTCTTTTACTTGAGTGTTTGTAAACCCTAGCTACAATTATGTGAATGTTTGTATGGATTGAATGATTAGTGTGTGGATGTGTTGTAGTGTGAATGTGGAGGTATTTTCATGAAAGATTGTATTGTGTGTTTGCCTATCAATTTATTGGCCATTCTAACCTAGGTGGAGAGAAAACTCCCTTTCTTTGAAAGAGGCTTATAAAGATGGATTTTCTTAGACAAATCTTGTCTCCTATCTAGGTTAATGTAAGGCAACCATCTTTATTCGTATTAGCACCTAGGTTTGGTTGTAATTCGGTCGTTCAAACTCTGATTCGAGGGTGAAGTCTTGGCAACCCTTAGTAATAGGTCAATAGAGCCACTTTGGTGGCTTGAATTGAATTCCCTTGACCTAAAGACCGAGAGAGTGGCGTTTGGCTACTTGTTGCACTTCCCTACGGTTTACAACCACCTTACCACACATGACCATTCGATCCGACAAGTCATAATTGTTAGCTAGGGGGAGCAACACTCGGGTGAAGCCTTCTCAAAAAGTGTCAAATCCATTTACTTTTCCAAACGTTTTAGCTATAGATCGTTGTTTTCACCAAAAACCAATTGCTAGATAATGTTATAAACAATTGAAGTAGGGGTACATAAACCAGCCCAGGTCGACATTTAAACATACTTGCCCTATATTGAACCTAATTGAGGTTTATACTTGGGCTTTAATTATGAGTTTTATTGTGGTATTCGGGACGAGTCAGAGGGATAAAATCTAATTGGGTTAAGAGAGTTTCTTCAAAATGAAGTGATGAATTGATTGTGCGAGAGCCAATCAATTCATTGTTCTGTACTGGAATTCCCTCCAGTAGAGGGGATATTTGTGTATTGCCTTAGCATTTTATTTCGATAGATGTTAGTCACCCACCGGGTACTTTGTCTAAGAGAGCTTGGTCAACTTTAGAGATTTCAAGCTATTTCGGATCTTACGCAGTATAATCATCAGTAAAATAACTAAGGGGTCGTCTGGATTAGGGATTGTAGTGCTTGATTTTGTCACTATACCTCACCTTCCCGGATTTCGCCACAATCATGCGTTTGGAAAGCCTAAAATAAATGAAAACTACCAACCCATTCCTGGCTACGAGCTCCCGCCAACTATGGATGGAACGATGATGCCAAGTGACGAGAAGCCGTCACCAACTAAAACCCTCCCCAAAATCCAAGCTTCCTTACGGAGAGTAGCGCAACAACGATGATGCCAAGTGACGAGAAGCCGTCACCAACTAAAACCCTTCCCAAAATTCAAGCTTCCTGCCTTTCGTTGATGGCACCTCCTTCGACCTCTAGAAGCTAACATGGTGCACCAGCGAGGAGGCCAGCGACGACGACAACTTGAGGGGAAATCCGACCCTCTAAAGCCTATGGTGGCGTTCGATAAGTGGGCAAGACAAAGAAGGCGTGAGTGTTGGGTGTAGGGCTGAGAAATAGACTAGACCGTTTGAATAACCATGATCCAAACCGCACTATAGAGTTTGGTCCGGACCGTAGACCGTTAAGTATGGTATGGTCTAGTCCATGGTCTATATTATATGGTGTTTTGATCTCTTGGTCTGGTCTGTTCTAGATTGCGTTTTACTGGACCAAACCGTGGGCCCAACCGACTTCTCAATACTTGCTAGCAGCCCACTCAAGCACTCTCCCAACTCCCTCAACGAACTCATTATGCTTGACATTTCACTCTAACCTTCGTTTTATGCAAGATCGCGGGTAGAAGAGAGTGACTAGTTTTTATAGATTTTTCAATGACCCCTTACCTCTAAGATGATTAGATAGAACTATAAAGCCTCCATCTCATTTAGTCCAAGACTACCGCTGCTACGAAGCCCAACAATCTAGCACTAGCAGTCGATCAACACTGCCTCAGGTTCAAGACAACATGTTTGCTCTCTCCTTAATGCTTTCCTATCACACACTTGGTAAATGCTCATTTCAATTGAAGGCTTTCACCGACTCAGATTGGAGAGCCTATGGGCTCTGTAGTGTTGATACAAGATGCTCTATCATGAGTTATTGTATTTACCTCGGTGATTCGTTGATCTCATGGAAAAGTGATAACACCCAAATTGGTGTTATTTATACTTTATATTTAGGATTGTTTAGTACTAATTCATGTGCATAATTTTTAGAATAGCATCGATTGCATCCCTATTCCGTTCCTATTTGATTATGACGTGATTTTAGGATGATTTAGATAATACATGTGAATTAGGTACGAAAAGGGGCACAAGTGTAGAGTTATGGGAGAAAAGCTGAAGATCACGGTCTAGAGAAGGAAGATAGAGACCAGGAACGAAGGACGCAAATAAAGAGCTGTAATCGCAACCTCCAGCCTAAAGATCACGACCGTAATCTCTAGAGTGATGGGTGCAAACTTGGAGAGGTAGCCAACGAAGGAGAAGCAAAGAGTTTGCCTTGTTGAATCACGACCATCGTCCTGCGAGCCCGCGAAAGTTCGCGGCAGCGTCATCAAGGTTCTCAACCGAGATGTCAGGCCGCAAACTCCAATTTTTCAAGCGTAAATGTGCTGACCCGAGATCGCGGCCTCGCCTCACAAGTTTACGACCCCAAACTTCCACCCCTTGGCCGAAATCTCATAATTCTATAAATAGGGGACCCCTTCCCCTTAAGAAGATGGACTGTGGAAGATATGTAATTCTAGAGAGAGTTTAGAGAAAGAAGTGAAGGAAGGAGAAGAAGTAGATGAGAGCTTGGAGGAGGGTTTCCATCACTTGAAGACCCTTTCTTCATGATGCCTTCCCCTCTTTGTATGTCTTCTCTTTTCCCCCTTCACGG